TTTAAACTAGTTATTTTTATGTTGTAAATATTTAGTTAATTTTTAGCAGACTTTATTTTCATTTTTATTACCATTTTTGAAAATTTCTTATTTCAACATATTTCAAAGTGTATGATTTCCTGATTAAACATTTTTTCAAATCTAGATATTTTCAAATACGATGAGCACATTCCTTCTGCTAGTGCAACAGTGAATGATCCTTGTTCAAACTGGTTTAATACTGATAATAAAAATGAAAAAAAAGTTATTAGGTAGTATGTCCTTATGATGAGTATAAATAAAAAAATGCAGATACATTGCAGATACATAATGCAGATACATGCAGATTATATTATAAAAAAAATGCAGATACATGCAGATACAGAATTTTATATATATATATATATATATATATATATATATATATATATATATATATATATATATATGTATATATATATATATATATATATATATATATATATATATATATATATATATATATATATATATATATATATATATATATATTTGTTGTAGAAAAGAGTGGAAAACTCCTGATTGGTACACTCATCATGAAAATCAGTCTTTGCAATCAAATTATGTTCCAAATTCTAATACAAATTTTCTTAGCTTTGATAATTTGTATTGTTGGCAAAGGTATTTTATATAGATTATATTACTGCCATTAATTTGGTTGTTGTTATTTTTTGTTGCAGTTTATATTTATATAATATAGTTAAAAATGCAACTTAATATTTTTAGAAGTGTTTCACCAAAATTACCTTCATTTTCTGAAAAAGTTTTACAAAAGAGACCAAAAGAATCTAATACACACGACACTATCAAACTTCCTGAAATGTAATTTTTTAAATGTTATTCAAATCATAAATACTGGGTTTATTTATTTTTTCTGAAAAATTTAGACTCCACAGAGGTATGAAGAAAACAGATAACAATAGAGATATGTTTAAATTGTTGGATTATACATATCAAAGAAATTTTATAATACAATCACAAGAGGCTAATGCTGAACTTAAGAAGAAAAAGGTTGTAAAATTTATCAGTTTAGAATAATAAATTAAATAGTTTAGGTTATTATAATTTATCTGTCAATAAATGTTTAATCTATTTTTTAATTTTTGATTATTTTTATCTTTCTTTTTTTAACCTAAAAGAAAAAGCTTTTGTTTTGGATCCAGGTGATTGGTATCATAGTAAATTCTCTTGAGTCACAAAAATTTTAACAACAAACATTCTAAAAAAATATATTTTTGCTGGAACGATTTCTCTTATAACCACAGTTTGTGTTATATCAATGAATAAAATATATTTTTCATAAAAGATAACATATATAATTTTAAGTCAGTTTGATGTTGATTTTAAAGGTATTTAGATTCATTGACTAATAAAGATTAGTTCTAACGTGTAATGGTCATACTTACGGAGTATTAACTTGCTTCAAAAGCTTGAGGAATTTACTTTAATACAACATTATATAATATTGTTACAAGTAAATAATTGTCAGAATATCTAAAAAATTTGATATCTCCTCTGAATAGGCTGAAAGCATCATGTAGCATTTATTAAGAATGCTTCAACTTCGGAAATTAGTGACGAATTAGAAAACTGAAGGATTTGGTAATTCTTTTTTCAAAAAGCTGGAAATTATTTTTGAAGAATCTAATTTTTATTATAACTCAGATGAACCACTAAGGTTTGATTAAAAGAAAGCTAAAGGCATTCTTTATATTATGGTAGTTAAGAAGTTACAATATATTATAGCTAACATTGGATTAACTAATATTGTATCAGCTGATAGATAAGAACTGGAAGAATTAGTTGTCACTTTTAACTATTACATATAAACCAAGAAAATTGGCATTGTGTATCATCATGCTACTTTTTAGGAAAAATAACTTATTATCTAAAGATTTAGCTTATATCAACTTCAATTTGTTCGGAAAAATGGTTAATTTTTTTTTTTTTTTTTTTTTTTTTTTACATTATTCACCTCCCCAAGGCCCGAGGGGGCCACTACAGTCGAGGAGGCTACTCATTTTTTTGTGTTTTTTATTTTTTTGTTGTATTTCGTGGTACAACCCTCTCTCAACTCTTTAACTCCGAAACACGAACCTTGACAAGCAAGGCCGCTGCGCGGAGAAACTAAGTTGAGCGCGGTACTTCCAGGGACGTGGTGGGAGTCGAACTCCGAACTTCTCGCTTATAAAGCGAGATATTTAAAATATAAATTATTTTTATGACAGAACTTATTGTTTGTTCTTTTGCAAAGTTTTTCCTAAAATCTAATAGTTTCATCAAAATCCTTTTTCTTGAAATTACAGCGATACATAAAATACATCTGATGCGACAGAGTCTTAAGATAGACACAAAACTTCAGGTATCATTTAACAAGGATACCTGTAGTTTTACTAAGTGATAAATTAATATTGAAAGAAAAGAAAAAAACTTTATCAGCACTTTTATTTGATATATCTATAGGCTATTATAAACTTGAGAACTAAGTGTGTGCATGTGTGTGTGCATACATATAATAAATCATGGTCCTGCTGATAAATAAACTGATAGTATAAGCTCAAGTTAGATAAGTAATGAGTTATGTGGAAGCTATTGGACAAATCTGAATTTAATTAGTAGAGCATAGTAATTTGTTTTTGTGGTATTAAACATTCTATAAAATATAAACTTTATTATTTGAAACACAATTACTTAAAATGAGGTTAAATGCAGCTGAATGATAATTTTTTTCAAAAACATCTCAAAATATTTTTTGTAAATAAAAAAATATAAAAAAATAAAATTGTAAATCATTTTAAAAAGAAAGGATTTGCTTGAGGTGCAATGTATGATAAACTAGAAAGCACCCTGTCATCCAATATCCTGGACTAGAGAAAAGAAAGCTGAGTTAATGAGACTTTTCAACAATTGAAAAGGGGTCAGTCAGAAAAAAATAGATTTTAAATTTGGTGTAAATAAATTGACAATTGATTGTCAGTTAAAACAAATGAATATTAAATATACAAAATGTGAAAAAACTCCAAAATACATTATAGAACAACAATTAAAGGCAAAGAAAAAAAAGCAGAAAACTAGATAATCAACTCTATAGCACAAAATTGCTTCTGTTCATTAATGACAAAAAATACTTTTGTTTTGCAGGGGACAACATGCCTGGAAAATCTAGATACTAGACAAAAAACAAAAAACATGCCCAGAAAGTGTTTCTTTTATAGAAAAAGAGAATTTTCCAAAAAAAAATTATTAATGTGGATAGCCATATCTGACTGTGGTATGTCCGAGTCATTGTTTTGCACTTCCAAGGCTGTAGGAATTAATTCATCAATCTATATTGGCAAATGTTATAAAAAACAACTTCTTCCATTCATTCACAAGTATCATGGAGACTTTAACTATTTATTTTGGCCAGATTTAGCAAGTTCTCGTTATTCTAAAGCTTCTTTAAATTGGATGGACCAATATGTTTATTGCATTCATAAAGAATCCAATTCCCCAAATTTGCCTTAAATACAATCAAGTGAAAACTTTTGGGGACATTTGGTGCAGAAGGTTTATGAGAGAGATTGACAAGCTTCAACAGAGCAAGTTTTGGTTGATCGAATTAAAACTAAAAGAAATCAATTTAAATTTTTTACAGTCACTTATAAATCAAGTCAGAGCAGATGATGGTGTAATTTTATTTTAAGAATGACTTATTTTTATTAAAAGAGAAATAGTTGGTTTAAAAAATATATATTAAGAGTTTTTTTATTTATTTATTAGGTTATTGACATTTTTATTTTGTGCAATAACTTATGCATCACTTGTTATTTTTTTACTATTTTATTGCTGCTCTGTCCTTCAAAAACATTGTACATTCTTTATAGAGTACACTAGCATATTTGACATAAGAAAAGAGTTTCTTTTTTTCTTTTGTCAATTATGTAAAGTAAAGACTCTTTTTTTTTTAATTACTTAAATTTATTTCTTATTAAGTTATTTTAAATTTAGTTATTGTTTAGAACTAAATTCAATAAGCAAAAAAAAAATCTAATGTTTCAATTTGAATAAGCTGCACCACCAAATTTACTATATAAAAATTGTAAGAACGCTATCTCAACTTTAATAAAAATATGCAATAACTTATTTACTAGATTATTTCCATTGTAATAAATATATTTAGTATATTGGTTACTATAAAATTGTTAGCCCCTTTTTTAGGGTTAACATATTTTAGCATTAAAAGTTACCGCAATGTGAGTAGCCTAATATAGAGTTTTATATTTAAGTTTTATATTTTTATTTTAAGTTTTATATTTTATGTTTTATATTTAAGTTTTATTTCTTTACTAGGTTGAAAAGAGACGAGTAATGAAAGAAAAACTAAAAAATGATCAAATTGACTATCGTAGGTAATATTATGAAAATTTTTTAATTTAATTTCTTATTTGTTTATTTATTTTTTTATCCAAAGTTGTTACCAATTTTAGAATTTTGGGAGTAGTTTTGAAGTAAAAGTTAGATTAGTTTCTAGTAATTAATGAACAATATGTTTGTTACTTTCTTATATGGATGCATTGCAAATAAAGCAATGCATCCATATAAGAATTTTCTAAACTTTTTTCAAAGTATGATATTTATTAGACAACAAATAAATTTTCTACTTAGATTTTAGAAGGATCATTTATAATCAACACAAACTCCTATAATTACACAATGAGACACAATTCAACATAACAATATTATAAGGGTTACATATCAAATGTCTGTTATTTTTATTTTAAATGTCATTCAATGCATCATCATTGTTAGATATTGGCTATCAATAATGCTTTTTGAATGCATCCACTTTTGTTTTATTTGATTACTCAGCAATCAACAAAAGATGACCATTTATGATTGATGCAAACCAGTATTTTGGTAATAAAGTGCATAGTATTAAAAGCCAAGTGGTTTTTAAAAGTGTAACCAAGCGATATGTAATGTAATGTAAAAATTGTTTTAGCATTTGTAGCCTTTAAAAGTGTATCCAATTGAGACATAATGAAAAATAAAGCATGTTATAGGGTTATTAAAAAAAAGTTGTCACAATTTTTGTTTATCATGAGAGAGTAATAATTGAGATGAAACTTTTATACATTAGAAATAAAATTAAAGATGATATACAGCAATATGACATTGATTAAGAAATATTACATTATCAAGTTTATTTAATTGTAAATAAAATAGTGTAACCTTACCATTTGTTAGGTTTAACATAACGAAAAAATATATAGGGGAAAAATTTAAGATAAATCTCAATAAAATGAATTGCACCATCAGTTTTGAGCATGCAAGTAATTCTGCAATAGTTATGAGTGACTGTATGGGTTGTGGTAAAAGAATTAAACTAAATATCTTTTAATATTTGTAAGCAATGGATTTTTTAAAAATTTGTTATTATTTAGCATAAGTGTTATTGAAAAAATTAGTTGTCAAGAGTATTTTTCAATTTAACTAGTTAACTTATTTTTTGTAAATTCACAACTTATTTGTTAATTTTTCATTGCTATTTTGTGAAGTTAATAGTTTTTGTTTTATTTTAGGAATAAAAAAGAAGAAAAAGTGACTGCACCAAAACCTCTTTTTAAGTTAAGCAAGTAGGAATAAAGTTTTTTGAAGTATTTTAGTTTTTATGAAAAATTTATTGAATGAAAAAATGTTAAAAAAACAAGTAAATATATTATTTTCACTTTTCTTGTTTCCAGTGTTCCTAAACATTTTTATCTCGTATATTGTCGATCCCAGTTGTGTTTTAGTACTACTGGTTCAGTTTGGCCCAATAAAATAAAATTTACAACTTTTTTTTAACATCAAAACCATCATAAAAAGTAATAATATACATGTTTTGAATAAACAATAAACCATCATTTGTATTTAAGTATTACAATAACAAGTGCATTTAAAGCTGTCATTTGATGTCTATTTGAACAATAGTTCAATAACAAAAGTATTATTTGAATAATATTTTATTAAAATGACATTTTAACAAAAACCTTTTGTTACCTCAGTTTGAAGACAAAAAAAAAAAAAATTATTTAAAAATAAATCTTGAAAATTTCATCCAAATTTTTTTAATTTCAAATGTATTTAGTAGAAGTATAAACTTTTTTCATTATTCTATTACTCAACGTTTTGTATATTTTTTGTTTGAATGAATCACAAGACTACCATATAAAGTTATTTTTTTTTTTATTATTTGTATAATATAAACCTGAATACATTTATCCAAAAACAAAAACTTTTTTTTTGGTAAAACTATATTTTTTTACAAAAAATGCTACACAATTTGTATTATAATGTTGTATTTATGATATAACAATTTGCAACATAACTTAATGTAAAATATGTTAATAATATTTTTTCTTTTTAAAACATGTTTTATTTTTTAGTTTTAGTTCTGCTAAAACATTTATTGTTATGAATAATTATAGTTTTAGTTTCTTCAGACATTCATTGTTATAATTATGATTTTCTGTTCCATATTTAAAAAATGGAATAGAAAATCATAATTATATGATTTTCTGTTCCATCTTTTAATTGTTTATAATCTTGTTTCAAGAATAATTATTTTTACATCTGAAAATTTGCATTTATTTTTTCAAACCTTTGACAATATACACAACTGGGTGTTGTTCTTTTTTTAACCTATTGGTTATTAAACAAGCACTTCCATGAATGCCTTTAAACCTTTTTTTTTAAACAAGCACTTTATTCCAAGCTTTTCCATAAATGCCTGAATACAAGCTAAAAAGATTTTTTGTTTTCTTTCAAGAAATCTTTAAATTTAAAGGAAGGCCAAATAAATTTCTAGATCTAATTAACAGTTTAGTAAATTGATGTTCATTTCTAAACAACTGCTTCTATAATTGTTTTACTAAGAATAAAACAGATGTTTTTATTATTGCTAGATATTGATGAAAATTTGAATGTTTATAATTTGTAAATAAATGAAATAAATGAAGTTAGTTTTTTAAGACTTTGTCTTTATTAAATGTAACTATTTTAAACTTTTGAAATCTTGTGTTTAATTTTTTGCACTTTTTGTGTCAAATTTTTTTGGTCACACTTTTTTTGTCACATGTTTTTCCTTACTGGTTGGCAGAAAAAAGAAAGATTTGATTGCAATAGCTGCCAGAGTAGCTGGTAAATAGGTAGCTGCCAAAATATTTTTGGCAGCTACCTATTGCAATCAAATGTCGCGTTTTCTGAATATATTCATATATGGTATATAAATATCTAATATAATAATATTCTAAATTACTCAATATAACTACATTTTTTTTTTTAGATTTGAAAAAGTTCCTGCTTGCGTTGATAGTCACAGACTGAAATAAATCTTCTATTATTCAAATACTCTTTTAACATTTTTTGCACTATAGTTAGACGATGCTTTAAAAATATGCTGAGATATGTTATAGTATTCAAAATATTATGCAAATAAATACATACTATATTTTTAAATTCGTTTGCATTTTTTTTATTTTTTTATTTTTTATTATTATTATTATTTTTTTATTCAATCGTATCAATAAAAATTTATAAATGCTCATCGTAAATTAATAGAATTATGTTAGGTGTCACTCATATAGTTACAAACTAGTCAATGGAGTGACACCTAAAAAGCATAAAAAATATAAATAAGAGAAAAAAAAAAGAGTTTTAAACAATAATGATATATGTAATAATTATAGAAATAATACAAAATAATAATAGTAAAGTGTTAATAATATGAAGAATAATTATAATACAATATAAATTGTATGTACCTACCATAGATAATAATTAAATATAATAATAACATAAGATGTAGCAATATTCAGGGCCGACGGTGCCGTTTTTAGCGTTAGAAATACCTAACTTCCAAACATTGTGCAAACTCTAAACATTTATATGTTTATACTTATGTCAAGTAAATATGCTTTTGCAAAATATTGCGATGATTGGAACCTGGGAACAAAAAACCCCATAACTTGTGCCTCTTCCTGCCCCAAACGTGAGAGCAACCAGTTGATAAAATATTTTATGTACTAATCTTAACTAGACTTATATTCATCGCTAAATTTTAAGTTTCATTATATAATCTCTTAGCGTTTAAAAATTGTCCATATCAAATTTGTAACCCCCTCAAATTTGGGGAGGGGGGTTAAAACTTTATATTGTCATAATAATAATAATAATAATAATAATCAACATATATTTCGATATAAGGTCTTACAATCGAGGTCATTTACAAATAGTTAAAAACTAATCTTAAGTAAATACCATGAAATAGGGTTGATAATACAAATAATAATGGTAATAATAATAAATTAAAAGTTATAAGAATAATAAGAAAATTGTATGATAATAAACTAATATCGATTTTAAAGCAACAATTAAATATAATACAGGAAAGTTACAAAGAGATATGTACTGACAAAACGTAACAACTTAGCATGTAACTAAAATGTTTTAGTTACATGGTAGGTTGTTACGTTTTGTCAGTACATATCTGTTTGTATTTTTTTGCAGTAATTGTTTTAGCTAAAACAATTACTGCAGAAAAAATTAACAATGATTTAATAAATAAAATAATCCTTATATCAATAATCATAATAAAAACAATAAAAGTAAAATAAATATTTCATTAAAAAATAACAATAAATAAATAAAACAAAAATTATTCAATAAATCTCACAAATAAAAACGTGTCACAGACACACAAACATTTAGTCACGAAAAGTTTAGAGTTTTCATAATAAATGACAATATTAAAATAAAAAGTAAATCATATTAAGCAAACACATATCTTCACTCAAGAAAAATAAAATTTAAAAAATATTATTTTTATTTCTATAAAAACGGAGCAATTTTTATATTTTATTTTAATTCCTTTCCATTTTCGAATTTTTTTTTTTTTTTAACTTTGGTTTTTTGTCTTTCCTTTTTCTTTTCACGTTTCTTTTTTCTTTTGTTAATTTGTTTGATTTGTTTTTTAATTTTTTTTTTAGTTTTTTCTCTTCTTTTTTTCTTTCTTTTCTTCATTTTCTATATTTTTATTTCATTTATTTTTCTTATTTTATACTTTTTTCTTTATCTTTCTTTTTTTTTTTTTTTAATGATTGTTATATCATAATTTTTGAACACTAAAATATTTTACGATGAAATTTAAAAATTATCGATTAATATTAGTCTAGTTAAAAATAATATAAAAATATTTTATCAATTGGTTGCTCTCACGTTTGGGCCTGGGGGGAGGGTACAAATTTTTGGGCTTTTTTGTTCCAAGGCTCCAATCATCGCAATTTTTTGCAAAGCATTCTTATTTGACATAAGTATAAACTAGGGTTTGGGAAAACCCGGCCTTTTAAGACCCGACGAGTCCGAGCCTAGCCTACGAATATTTATCGGGTCCGGGTTCGAGTCCGGGTGTAATACGTTTTTTTAACTCGCAATTTTAACAATAGCATGAAATTATTTTTTGTTCTCACGCCCATTTTAAAAAATGGATTTGGTGTATGTTATGGTAAATAAAATGACTATTATCCAGCTTATACCTTTATTATAATCTTAAACTACCAAATAAACTTGACATTACTTTAAAAAAATATTGCTTTAGTATTTACAAGCATAATTTATAATAAAATGCGTGCAAATATGCTAGCAATAATAAACTCAACTAAATTAAAATACATATAAGTGTTTAATACATACCAGAGCAATTACTTTTTACTTAAAAAATAAAACTTTAAAAAAACTAATGCACTCAATGAGTTGTCCGATAATCTAGAACGAATTCTTGTACAGAAGTTAGATGCTACAGAAAATATTCGTTCGGAATGTGTTGACGTTGGTTTTATCGTTATTAACGCTTGATACAGTTTTTCTAAATATGCAGTTCTTTTTTAAGTTTTTGAAAACAATAAAAACTCTTTTTTAATATCAGCAAAATCATCTCTACAACTTGGCAAATTTGGACATTTCGCACTTTCTAATATTTTATGTAGTTCTTCTTCCAGTGTTAAATCTTCTGCGTTTCCTGTAGTATTTTCGTTATTTTCAGTTGAATGTTTCTGTTCATAATGTGTGTTTTGCTGTTTTTCCGCCCCATCAAATAATCTTTTCATTAAGTCTGTAGTAAATGTTTGTATTTTCTTTGAAGGCATAGTACCATTTACAAGAGAATTTAACAGCCCTTCTAATTCTTGGTTTTTACGGCTATTTATTTGAGTTTTCATCGTCATTAATAGTTCTCTACTTATGTTACCATTCGATTCTTTTACTTTTCTTAACATAAAATCAATTGCTAATCGGGCTGTGGCAATATTAGTATCGTCTCTGCTAAGAACTTCAACAGTTAATTTAATAGGCTTTAGAGTATTTTCTAATTCATGTAATAATTCAATATTAATATTTTCTATTAAATGTACACTTCCAATATCTTGAAGAGCTTCTTTAACGTTATAAAATAATTTTAAAAATCTAGATACCATTTCAAGCAATGAGTTCTAACGAGTTCTTACGTCTAACACTAGCTGAAGTTCATTTCCTAAAAATATTTTGACCTTTTTTTGCTAAATATTATTTAGCACAGAAGAATTTTTTAAAAATTTAACAATTATACGAACACTTTTTATATTTTCTTCTATATTTCCTAAATTTGTTAATTCAACATGTTCGTACTCTTCGACGTCATCACCGCTCTCTTCAGAATAATAATTTTCATCTTGATTATCATCAATACCATCTTGACCATGGTCATCACTATCACCATCAATACCATCTTCATTTTGCAAGACGACAATATTTTTCTTTTTATATAGTACATCACAAACAGCTAAGTGTATAGTGTGATTCAAACACAAATTATAGAGACTAGGAGATTCTTGTCCAAATTTTATCATCACACTTGCACCGTTGCCGGTTGAACCAACTATATGTTTTTTAAAATTAATATTATATGTGTTTAAATGTTGTTCTACTTTTTCAACTAACTGTACCGCTGTACACGAGTTAGAAATTCTCACTAAACCCAGATTATACACTTCAGAGTCAATTCCATGCAAATTGAAATTTAGATATTTCCTAATTTTCATACTCGTCCATTCATCGAGTGTAATGCTAAATCGTCGGCCTTCTTTAACTTATTCTTGTAACAATTCTAATATTTCCAACTTTTTTTCATAAATTTTATGAATTAAATTCATAACATCTCTTTCGGCTTTAGGAAGATTATAACTTGGTTTTACTAATCTTTCACGAATAAAGCTAGACTTTGCAATCGCCTTAACAAATACCATCAAGAGCGGCTATTTTAGCGACAATTTCTTCTAAATTTGCAACAAAATTGGTGGAATTTTCTCCTATTTCTTCTCGTGTAGGTAAAGAAATTCCATGTTTAACTTTTAAATATTTATTCATTGATGAAGTATTTCCATCTTTGTTTGATATTATCGTTGAACACCTACTGCATTTACCACTTTTCAAATCAGTACATTGGCTGAAATAGTCCCACACTTTTGAATTCTTCGGCATAATAGCGCTGTATAAAATGTCACATTAAACTTATGATGTTCTACTTTTTTCCTAAAATGGAGATATTAATCAACTATTTAATTAACAAATGAAATGTGTTTTTTTTTTTAAATACGCGCTAAATGAATTAACTTATTAACTTCAATCTTTCTAATCAAAAGTTTTTATATTAGCGAATGCTTCTAAAACAATCGCATATACAATCAACAGATTTGATTAAAAATTTATGAGGTTAGTGTCTATTCGGACATACATGGAAACATAAAAAACTTGAATGTTTTCAAAACATCAAAAAAGCCGTGGTCTAAATTTCAAGCTAAAAAAAAGATGGGGATACAGTGTGACGGCGTTCCGATGCGTACAGGCAAAATCGAAGAGTCAAATCATGAGACTCGCCGAGTCTTAAACCGGGTATCGAATCCTGGTATTTATCCACGGACTCGCCGAGTCCGAGTCCGGGTACCCGGAACCGAAAAACCCTAGTATAAACATATAAATGTTTGGAGTTTGCACAATGCCTGGAAGTTAGTTATTTCTAATGCCAAAAATAGGCACCGTCTGCCTTGATAATAACACAATAATAAATAAATAGATAAATAATAAATAAAGCAAAAGTCAAACCACTTTTTCGTTAAAAAAGTTATATATCAAAGGCAACTTAAGCACGGTTAGCATTGATCCTTATAATGCCTACCTAGCTGTCCCAAGAACGCCACTTATACGGAAAGTTAGCGTACACATCAAGGTACCCTGTGATGCAAATTTTGAAATCATTTAATTTTGTCCGCGGAAAATAGTTTAATTTGAATGTTCAAATTAAAACAAATTTTGACTTCATAGTGCGCCAATAAAAACACTTGTACAATTTGAACCACTAAATATAGTTTGATAAAAATTAGTGCAAATGTAGCCAATAGTCACACCAAACTCTGGACAAAATTTCAGCT